GTGAACTCAGAGTTTTCAGGTATTGTGATGAATTAGTTCATTATGTTGTGGTCTATCCTCTTAAACCTTCTACAAATAAGAAACAGTAACACTGAACGAGAATTTAAAGTTGGCGAAGGCTTACAAACTAAGGTTCACAAGCTCCCAACCACACTTTCAAAATCAATTATTGTTTTATGTGGGAAAAATGATTGAAGAAAATGGAATCCTATTCGTCTACATCACTGTTAAGATCCTTTATCAATACAGATAGGAAATTCTGGGATTTTTATTTTTTTTCAAAATGCATGGTCCAAGACTGGCATCGCCTTCCCAAGAAAAGGTTGTTATGCGCTAGACTCTATGATGTAGAGCCACAGTATGTAATCAAGACTATCGGATTGAGCAGGTTCAACGGAAGGAGGTAATTACGAGGCTTGAAATGGTGTTATTATAACTTGTGATTAACCTTCAGTATTTGCCACAATAGTTTGTGTGTATATTTCCACAAGATATGTTCCTTTGCCTAGATTCTACCAAATGGATTTGTGTGTAAATATTAACGCGGGGATTTTGTATTAATATTTTATGGGCATTATTTGCTTGTTTGTCTCAGTGTTAAGCCTAAAGCTTCACAACAGGTTACCTGTGCTCTACCCACCTTGGGTATTGAAACCTTCCGACGTTTAGAGTTACAAGTCCTTGGACTTACTGCTGAGCCACCTGGGGCGTTTTGCGGGCATAAATTTATATTTATAAGCAATGAATCTGTAACCAGATGTAAGCACTCTAGAACTGTATATGTATTTCATCCTTTTACTTTCATGTGTGTGAGAAAGGGGAGAGTTATACGTTAGGATACTATCTGTCTATCTATATGTAAAAAATAATCCTCGAACAGATTTAATTATATTTTATTACATATTTTTCAAGAGTGCATACAGTTTTTCTCAAGAAAAATAATGAAATTATCAAAGATGTATAGGTAAGAATAGGTTAACAACTTTATATATATATTTTTTCATGCAACTAAAGACTTGCCTATAAAATTTGCCCCATGGACGTAAATAACTTCTTTACTGTATGTATCATTGGTTAGATCATCAACGGTTAGATTGGTTGAAGCTGTGTTATTCACGTCAAAGTGTTCATTGGATTTCCTGAATACTGTTACTTCCTAAGAAAAGTAAAAGACGTTGGAAAAAAATTATTTTGAAAGTTCTTATATAAAACAATTAATTATGTTTTATAAATCTGAAACATAGTTCTATTTTATTTTACTTGCAACAAGTTGTGAAAAAAAGAAAATTAGTTTTATGTAAATTCGTGGGTGCTTTTCTTTCCATTTAATTCATCATTTTGAATTTTGTATCTCGAATCAGCAGTGCGTAAGCCTAATAGTAATAATTAAGTTATTGCTTAAGCATATACTCTTAAAAAGAAGCTAAACAAAACACCAACATAAACTTCTGCTTAATTTGGTTTATATATCAAATCTTTAATCAGCTAAACAAGGGTAAAGAATATTAATTTCTAACTGGTATATAATTTCACTGTTTCCATTTGATTGTGAAGATTTCATTCAACAAGCTAAACAAGGGCAAAGAACATTAATTTCTAACTGGTATATAATTTCACTGTTTCCATTTGATTGTGAAGATTTCATTCATATCACGTTTATAGGAATATCATCGAGATACAAATATTTCGGCAGTAGTAGCGTTATAAAGATAAATTCTGTTATTTGGTTTAAAGATCGTGAAAAACCCTTGAAGGACAGGCGTATCTATCTGTCTTTTTCTCCTCTAGACAGTAGTTCAAAATTATGGTTGGCTATATCTGAACCATAGTAGACTCTGACCTGGCCATTTAGCCCACATGAGCATTAGGTGCTTTTTAGGTTGAAAAGTCCAATTTACTCTTGACATTACTCAAACAAAATTCAAAAGACTTCTATAAACAGCTAAAACATCGAGTTGCTTCATCTCTATAGCATTTTAAAAGATTTTTGAGTCTATTTTCATTTCCTTCATAAAAAATACAACATAAATTTTTCATGGATAAGGATATCTTTATCTTCGTATCTCTGAAAAATAATAGTTCTGAAAATTATTTTTACTTCTTCAAATAAACATAATGAAAGACAATAGGCTATCATCCAACTGGTCATCTGCATAACAGTAAACTTTATCTATTTCTTACACACAGTTTAAAATATACACGTTCAACAAACCAACACAACTAGAAGAAAGCAGTTCGAAAAGTAAAAATATTCCATTGAAATCAATAAAGAACTTTTGGTCATCCAGCACCTCAGTTTCTTGTTAATACGTCTTTCCCGAATATCGGAATAATATTCCAGTTACTGTTATGTTTAGAGATAGCAGAAAATTACTCGACACTCACATTTATAGCCCTTCAGTAGAGCATTGGTAAGTTTTAACGCTGAAAACTGGGTTTCGATACCCCTATAGGTACAGCATATATATAGCCCATTGTGTTGCTTTGCGCTTAACAACGAAGAAGAAATATAGCTTTTTGCAGTTACGTTTTACTGTCAATTCCGAATTATTTATAATCTCACCTAGGTGTTGGTAATAATTTTTTGCTCCTCCTGGTGTTCTTAGAAAATTTTTATTGCATTTCATCATCTTACTCCCACTATTTTATTTGCTTTGTGTTCATATCATATCATTTCCACATTCTCGCAGGAAACCAGTACTACTTACTACTACATAACTTTCACCTTTTCATGGTAATCTTGTAACAAACTGTAACGAATTTGTTGTTATATATACTTATTTGAATATCAAAGTTTGTTTAGATTAAATTTATATTTGAAAACATGCATATCTTGTAGTGTTAGATATGTATTGCAAAACTCCCGCCTATTCTCCAAAGTTGTAGAAGATTCTCGAGAGTAGGAATCAACAATATATCTATATACGTAAACACATGTATTGTTACGTGAGACTGAATTTGCTAGAAAACGTTCCCACGCCTACAAATAGAACCAACACGCCGAGCCTGGGAGAGTGTCTATTATTAATTCGTTATAATCAGTGTGCTATAAACTTCGAAAGCTATAATTGAGATTGTTATAACGCTTATCAATCGGAAAACTGAAGATATTTGACCAGGAGCATTTACCAAATTCGAACATTGCAACTCATTTAACTTCAGTGGATTCTCATCGGACATTAGTATTCTTATGAAACCATTACCAAACTTCAACAGTGAAAAAAATCGGCGTGTGATCAGTGAGAGACAAAGCTAGCTAGCTTCCCCTTAAGTGAAATATATCTCCGTCAACTCGCTCATCGTGAACCCTCGATAAGATATCAAGGAAGTTCCGGACTAGAAAGAAAACTTTATAGTGTTTGTAATTTTGCGAAACTTTTGTTTATAAATCATTGTTTGTAATAACTATTTGCAATAATTGTTATTGTAAATTGTATGGTTGTGTGTATATTAAAACGTATTTGTGTTAAAAACGAAAACGGTGTGTATCAATCTTGTTGGCAAATATCGTAAATTGACTAAAATATCGCCATATATTTGAATACTAAATCCAAAGTACAATTTAACTACTGAATTTAAATTATCAGTTAACTCAATTTCAGACCATTTAAAATTCTGCCCCCAGTGGCACAGCGATATGTCTACGGACTTACAACGCTGGAAACCGTTTTTCGATACCCGTGGTGGCCAGAGCATAGACAGCCAATTATGTAGCTTTGTCCTTAATATCAAACAAACAAACAAATTTAAAATTCTAATACGTAACACAAACCCTCTGACCTATACAGCTTGACCGAATTTCTTTTACATCTAGTTCAGCCTTGATGAAAAGTGTGTCATCCGAGTCCCAAAAATAATGATAGTGATATATTACCGTAAAAGGAAGCAGAAGTGTCTTATCAGTTGAAGCATTATTGATTAAAAATGTCAACGTGTTTGTAAACGTCAGTAACTAAGTGTCTATCAAGTAGAACTTATAAAAATGATCTTACCTGCATCAAAGTAGCTCGAAAAATATTCTTTGGTATACCGTTTCTGAAACGTGACAAAAGAGACATAGAAAAGTTACATTCCATGTTACTTACATTAAATATTTAACTCCACTTGCATCCTATTTTATTTTGTTTCCTTTGACTAAAAAATTATATTTCTTATTAAAATAAAATATCTAAGTTTTTAACAGTAAATGTTATCATAAGGTACTGTTTCTTCAACGTTTCTTTATGGTAAACTTAAACAACTGCTTAATTACTGATGGACTTTCAAAGAAATTATTACCGAATAATCTTTGTTTTTCGTGTGTTTATGTAATATCGATAGGAAAAACCTACACTCAACCACTTACAGCAAACTTATATAAAATCTTTAAATGATTAGTTCAGATAATAATTAATTTCCTTCAGAATCCCAGTTAGTTATGTTTAAGACCTTTTAAAATAGTATAAGAGGATGAAGGTCGTGCCGTATTTTATTCTTAAACAATTCTTAAAATATTGTTCAAATGCTAACATTTAGGCACAAGTTATGCTTTCTTTACTTGAATGCTAGGCGTGGCCAGAGTAGGCCTTAGAGCAAGGCTACTTGCCTACTACCCTACCCTTTATAAGGCACCACTCTAGAGTGTTGTGGAATTACAGATGAGTGTTTCGAATCTGACGTCGTCATGAACACGACTTCTAGCAAGGTTCCTTTAAAAACAAAAGTGAGAGCAGCTGTGCTCTGATCCAAAGCCTGATTTTAAACGCTTTCGGTTCATAACGCAGCTATTGTGACTTTTTCTTTTTTCAAGGACTTCACCAGAACTGTGTGCATAATGATATGGGACACGAAACAATCTCGCGTCTTTACGTGTGGCCCGCGAGATTAGGCATATCTTTACACAAGATATCATATAGACCTCACGAAAGTAAAATTCGTGAAAGGAAAACAAAATAAAAAAGAAACGCAACTTAGCAAGAAAGAGGGACTCTACTGTAACATTTACCTCCAACTAAAGATTTGCTTCGGGATGAAAATTAATCAGACTCTTCACAAGAGACCGAAAACGTATAGCATCTTCGCTAGAATCACGAAGTGTAGGGGCTCTATAACGCTACAGTCACGAGAATATCAGTTGTTGGAGCGTATACTGACAGGGCTAAAGGATTACAGAATATCTGGATTTGCGAATGGTGTGGCAGATGTTAAAAAAAGTAGCTGAACAGCTAGGAAGTAGTCCTGTGTTTAACGAAACACGTGCGAGTAAAACAATCTGTTTGAATATGAGAGCAGTCGGTAATAATGCTAAAAATCTATTCAAAATAATAGTTTAATAGAGTAGTTGATACTACGATAATAAAACCAGAAAAACGGTTCCAACAACTGAAGAAACATCATATGTGATTTGGATTTCTAACAAACTTGAAGATATTGACGAGTTGGTGTTAGCAGATGAATTATGTATCCTGAAGACAGCTATTCTACCACAAATTTTTATTTAAGAACCCATGAAAATGCTGCAGTGTATTCATGAAAACAGAAAAGCTTACATTTTCCAACTATACCTTCACAGCATCACAAAATGTTCTGACTATTATAATGACACTTTCGTCTGGTAAGTGGAACTTTTCGTGACTGAACATGATGAAGACATATTTGCACTCAAAGTTGACTCAAAGAGACAAGACTGTTAGTTTTGGTAATACTCTTAATTGAAAGAAATGTTACCAAGAATTTAGAATACTGGATCTTGATAAAGGACTTTCCTGCTGCGAAAGCTAAAGAAAAAATATTCAATAATTTGTTTTTAAGTAATTAAGAATGTAAAATATAAACAGGATTTCATAATGCGTAGGGGTAATTTATAAATGACAACAAACGTGTTCTGGATCTCAATTGAAAAAGTAGCATTGCTTTTTTTTTCTCGTCGACTGTATGAATCTTACCTCTTGGAATTAAATGCCCAAACCATTAATCTGCTATCTAGCGATTCGTCCTTGGTAATTGCATTATTTCGGTTTATTTTATTTATTTATTGTTCTTCTTGTTTGTTTTTTCATGTTTTTACAATACTATATTTTATTATTTGATATTGTACCTTACTCCACGAACTGACATGTCATTTAAAACTAATTGCTATTTCATATGGAAAATAAAATATGAAAATTCAGTTTATTTAAAATTCTTTAAATATACTAGTATTAGATGGATCTACATATTACATTTTGTTAGAGTGTCCACCACAATATTACCATTATAATAATAAATAAGATTACATAAGTATACTAACATTAAAGTACGGTTACTACTGTAGCATCCATTCGATGTTCTGAACCAACACTTGATCATCACCACCAAGCATTAATTAACATTAATTAAGTGGAACAATACTATTAAACAAGGAAGTGAAACATGTAGCAGTCCCTTCATGAACATGGAAGTAACACAAAGACTGTTTATATACATATTCGACTGTTCTCGGTAGCTGCATTGTGGATCGTTTTATTATTTTCGTTAATAATGCAAACTGTACAGAGTAAAAGGTATGTCTAATGATGTGTTATTTTTTTAATCATAAAAAATTTCCGCTGATTATGTTAATATGAGTAAGTTCACGACAAAAGTAGAGTGATTACCTCTGTTAAAAAATAATAATAATTGAAGTTATAGTTAAAAATCACTATCTTTTTTGTTTACAAGTAAAGAAAAACTTTTCAAAAAACGGAGGTAAATGTAGAAATGGCTAATATCAATCCTTCAACAATAATGCAAACTAGATAGTAGGGATGGTATTTGCATCATCTCTACATAATAGCACAGACACACAGTGTAGTAGAATATTAACAGACAAAAATAGGATAAATTAAACTCAATTGTGATTGAATAATTATATATATATTGCTATATGTTAATTCTTGCCTGTGCTATTATGTATGGATGATACAAATACCATCCCTATAATCTTGTTTACATTCCTTTTGAAGGACTGATATTAGCCATTTTTTGAAAAAGGTTTTTCTTTATTTGTTTGCTTGTTGTTGTATTTTTAATGCAGAGTTTCAATAGACATAGGAAGGTTGTATTTATAACCAAGTTCTAAAATAATGAGGTTCAACCTAAACACACCTGAGTAAATCTAAGATTAGGTCGATAATTTGTCCTTTTTCTACGTGTTCTTTGGATCTTGAATTATCCACGCCATTACTGTTGCCATGAGAGCGCTCGGGATTTACCACATGGGCGACAATCATTCCAACGGCAGTGCAGAGCACTTGTCTCTTGTTTCAGGAATAGTGAATAGTATTTGGTCGTCACTTTTTAAGCGCACATATTTGGAATCTAAAACAGTTTGAAATAGACACCTATTTCACAGTCACCTAAGGTGTTTTCAAAACAAACTGGAATTTGCTATATTATGTTTGCATGTGTGCTTGTGAATATATGAATATATAGGTTAACCACAGTGCTGGAACCAATATCACAAGGTAAACAACCAGAACATACAAACTAATAAAAACCTTACAAAATGCTGTTATCGCAGCTAAGTTTTCATATAGAAAGCTACGCTATTTTACGTTTGAAATAATTTCGTAACTGTGTTTCTTTCACGACAGATTATGGGTTGCTTAAGAACCCATAAGATTTCCCTCTTGATCATCACGATGACAATCTTAGGATTTTGCACAGGACTTTCATTACGACAAATGGACTTAGATAAAGAAACAATAAAGTTGATTGGTTTTCCTGGTCAGTTAGTATTTCGAGCTATCATCTTATTGGTTGTTCCGTTGATGTGTACTAGCATTATTCTAGGTAAGTTTACTATATATTTGTCATTTTTGTTGGAAATATGAAAAGATTTCGTTTTCTTTTAGCTTTTAAATATTTTAACATTTATCTTCTACTACGTTATAGTGCAAACACAGAAGACATGAAGTTATGTAATTGTGGCTTTTCACTTGAGGAAAATCAGTTTTAAACATGTTTCTTGCATTCTTTAAGTACAGCTTGTTCAGCTAATATTGATTTTTTTTTTTAAATGCAGGCACCCATACATGTTTGGCGCCCCTAGGCCTACTCGATAATACGACCCTGAGTAAAAGTATTAGTTAATGTCAGTAGTCTTAATTTGGCTCTAAAACAAAAGGTTTTGTACTTAAAGATTTGTTAAGGATTTTCACTAAACACAAACTAAATAAATGTCAACTCTAAAGAGCCTACATTTCACCAAGTAAAACAAAATGTTAAATAAAAACAAATGATAGAACCTGGAACAGAAACGTTAAGGTTAACATTTTAAGTTATAATATGTTTAATATTTTCACTATACGTCCAAACCTCGTCTTTCGATTGCAGTTACTTTGTTATTTTTGAAACATTTCAAACTATGATGGTCTGAGTTTCAGGTGTTACGTCATTGAAGAAAGGTGACAACGTCCGTTTGGCGGGGTTGACACTGGGTTTTTTTGTGGGATTTTCTTATATTGTAATAGACCCATTAATTTTTAAATGATTTTGTTTAAACGTCTTCAAAACTATCTATTTTTTTTGGTACTTCCAACAGGTTTTACTGGGTAACAAGTCTGTGTTTTGTATTAAACATTACATTAACATTTTCCTAAGATGATCGAGTATACTTAGTTTTAAAGTGAGTGTATTTGCTGCGGCTTAAAATATAAATTTTGAAAAAGAGAGCCTTTAATTTGAAAGTGACAAAATGTAAGTCCAAATACTACGCAATTTTTCTATATTACCTATTACAAACCTAATAGTAGCGCCTGTGTGAATTATTCAAATTGGGTCTTTTTGTTTGTTTTACCGTAAATAGGCTATATGCACTCAGTCCACCACAGGGAATCGACTCACTAATTTTATCGTTTTACACAAGTAAACTTACCACTGACCAATTGGGAGACTACGTTTTACACAAGTAAACTTACCACTGACCAATTGGGAGACTATGATGTGCTAGTTGGACCGATATGTGTAGTCACTGGTGTCACGTTTGTAAGGTCTAGTTTCAGAACACTTTCTTGATTAAGCATATGTAAATCTAATAATATATATTTACGTGAAGTTCGTTAAACGTAATTAAAAGTGTTAATTAAAGTCCGTGAAGAGGAATCTAAGGGAAAAACATTTTGGAGATCTTACAACTATGGCACAGAGATATCACTAAAGAAGTCGTAGAGAAGCATGGCTAAATGATAAAAAAAAACATACATATGAAGAGTGTCACATGGAAATAGAAAGTTTGTTTAAGAATATTTTCACAAACCTGCGCATGTCCGTCCCTAATTATTAATTGATAGACTAGAAGTAAGGCAGCTAGTCAACAGTAACTACCGCCAGCTCTAAGACTGGGGATTCATTTATTTCACGCACTGAGTTAGATAATTGAGCCTCCATTTCTTAGGTCCTCGTTTTGTATTTTTTGTTCCATGTTATCAAAATGTTCAATGATTGCCAGTTTTGTAGTACTATTATCACGCTACCAATGAAAGGATTTAATAACTATTGTCGTATTCATACTTTTTATAATCTTTTTAGAAGTGAAATTTAAATCTTCTACGTGAAAGGAATCTCATGCGCACGTGAACGACTAGAATTCGGGTGTATCCGTCCCTAATTTTGGGCTACTGACCAGAGGAAAGGCAGCCAGTGTACCCGCCCCCACAAGTGCTTTGTCCGGCTCTGTGAACTTTGGTTAAAAAACAAATCAAAGTCTGTGCTTCTTGTAAATTTTTCCCGAAGCAACGTATAATTCGAAGAGTTTCTATTCATAGAAGCTTTCTTTTAGGTAGTTCTTCTGAAAGAATTTATTTCCAAAAACTCAAC